AGGTAGATTACCAAGGAAGCATATAATCCAGAGTATGAAGAAATGGTCAGTAATTGCAGAAGGGAGGCTGAGAAGGCAAAAGACAAGCTCAAGCTTGCAAGAGAAGTTAAAAACAACAGTTCAGCTATGTGCAAAGCAAGATGAAGAATGAGGAAACTGCAGGTCTGCGGAAAGGAAGGAATGGAGATATAGTCACTGGAGAGAGAGAAAACAGAGCCGTAGGGCACCTACTTATTCTCTGACTTCTCCCAAAAGGAAAACAGTGCTCAACCTAACATAGGTAGACTAAAGAAAGGAGGCCACCATGGCCAATATAGGCAGAAAGGTGATGCAAAAACATCTAGCAGTTTTAAATGAATCTTTCTTCTTGGCCAGGTGAACTATATTCCTGACTTTTAAAGGAACTTGCAGATGTAATTTCCAAGCCTTGGAGTACAAGTAACGTTCATGAAGAATGGAATTCATCTCACCTTCAAAAAAAGGAAGAAAAGAAGACTCGGGCAGCTACTGATCAGTTAGCCTAACAGCAACACTGAGAAACATTCTCGGACAGATAGCTCAGTGATTTAGATATCTGGATATGGATATGATTCTCCACTGTATCTCTCTGACAAGGGCTGGGCTTGATGATCCATAGTGTCCCTTCCAGCTCTACAGTCCTAAGGTATTGATGACGATGATTGAATAGTTTATCTATCAGCACTTAAAATATTATGATTTCTGCAAGCCCACCATGGTTTTCTCAAAAGCAACTCACGCCAAATTAATCTTATCTCTTTTTCAACAGAATCACAAGTTTGGCAGGTGAGGAAAATCCTGTGTTTATAATGTAGCTTGATTTTTAACAAGGTCACATTATATTATAGTGGCCAAGCTGGTAAAAAGCAGGCTACTGTTAGGTGGATGCGCAGCTTGGTACTTTGGCTGTACCCAAAGAGTGCTCAGCAATGGTCCCTGAACAAAAGTGAGAAGTGGGGTACAATAGAGTTCTGTCCTTGGCCCAGTAATTGTTCAAGATTTTTATTACTTGGATAAAGGCATCAAATTTGCAGATTCCACCAAACTGGGAGGTGTTGCTAATGCTCCAAAATACAGAATCAAGAGTCAAGATAACTTAAAACCAGTAGTTCCCAAATTGTGAGCCCCTTTTACAACAGCCAAGTAACCGGCAATTCCCCGCCAACATGTTTGCATAAAAATATATTTTAATGGGGTAAAGTAAGGGCTTCTTTCTCCCCCCCACACACCAAAGTGCCTGTTTTTCATACATACAGATACATGCTGACTTTAACATGCCACTCTGAAAAGTCAAGAAAGGAATTATTAAACAACGGCTACACTACATATAAGGTGACCTGCAACCCTCCAGAAAACACTTCACAACCTCCTTGGAGAATCACAAACCCCAAGTTGGAAATATGAGCCAAAATGAGCAATAAGCCTTAAAAAGCATGAGGTTTTCAAGAGAAAAGTTATCATTTTGAAGCATCTGTTACAACTTGGATTCAAGCAAGACCAAGCAAAGCAGTACATCTTTTGCACAGCTAAATAAAGGCAAGGAGAATCACCCTGGATTTGTTCTCAGTTCATGCTCTTTTGGCAAAAATATATCAGATCACACTCATTCTTTGCTCTTCAGGCTTGCTTACCTATAATTTAAGCCAGCTGGGAGAAGAAGAAGAAAAGCAAAGAGGTCACACAATACATCAACAAGGCATTAGCCCAGCAAAACTATCCCTGATGTTACTTTGATTTAGAGCACAATCCTATAACTGTTTATTAAGAAGCAATGCCTCATTGAGTTAATCAGGACTAACATCTTGAAACAGGGACGTGGTGGCGCTGTGGGCTAAACCGCAGAAGCCTGTGCTGCAGGGTCAGAAGACCAGCAGTCGTAAGATCAAATCTATGCGATGGAGTGAGCGCCCGTCACTTGTCCCAGCTCCCGCCAACCTAGCAGTTCGAAAGCATGCAAATGCAAATAGATAAATAGGGACCACCTTGGTGGGAAGGTAACAGCATTCCATGTCTAAGTCGCACTTGCCATGTGACCACGGAAGATTGTCTTCGGACAAACGCTGGCTCTATGGCTTGGAAAAGGGGATGAGCACTGCCCCCTAGAGTCGAACATGACTGGACAAAGTTGTCAAGGGGAACCTTTACCTTTTCAACATCTTGAAAACTGCAATTAGACTGCATCTAGGGTAGGAATGGGTTTAGAGTTTAAGATGCACTGCTCAGCATATTTCCAGAAGCAAATGCTCTTCTCAGTGATGGAACATACTTCCACCCAAACAGGAATGAAGTATTACATTTATTGAAGTGGTGGGATCTTTCTGTTGTTGTGGATTTGCACAAATTGGGTGTATTAAGAAGGAAGACTGTCCTTTTTTTTAGTCATGCAGATCCTAATGTTTTGAGGGGCCTTAACTGGATCTATTGATTATACAGAATAAAAATGAATGTACGAAAGGGACCTTTCTGAGATGTTCTAGACTTCAATGACCACAAATCCAAACCAGTGTGATCAATGTTAAGTGGTTGTGAGAGCTGTGTTCTAAACATCTGGAGAGCCAAGATGTTCTCCAGCTTTGCTGTAGAAGTTCTAGTGACAGGGTCATGGATGAGGCCAGGCTTCCTCAGTTGATATTCTCCAGATCACGGTTCCTATCCTGCTCTGTAAACCAGTATCTCTGGAGGGCACCAGACTGAAAAATGCTAAATTCTGAGAAGGGAAAAGGATGGAATAAAATATAAACAACATGCTTTAATATGCCAGTTCCATTGCCAGAACACATGGAAGACACAGCATTATAGAACATACTTCAGGATAATCTGCTCTCTAAGGAAGGCCTCTATTGTGAACATGGAGGGCAATTCCCTCCAGAACCTACTGTATGGTAGACACCAAATCCACCACGCACCATCCCCCTTAAACCACACAGAAAATGCTACTCATGTGGTTTGCCATTGAATTGCAGAGGTATTGGGGCTGTAACAGGCACAAAATTTGCCTTGGGACCCCATCCAATCTTTATTTAAAAACCACTAAGAAAGGAGAGCCTTCCACATTAGGGTCAAATTATATGATATCGATATCACATGGTTAGAAGTAAGATTTTTTTTTCAGTGCTAAAACAGCTCAGCACAAGATCTTTTCACTCCCTGTGGTTTTCAAATTAGCTTGCCTTGTTTAGGGACTGGTCTTCAAGACGTGAAACATCAGCTTCACTTGCAAATATGTTTGCTGAAGCATGAAGCTCTAGTGGGATTGTGTCTCTGGAAAACTAATGATGCTTCCACCTTCTATTGATGTGGCCACTGTAACACAGAGGCTGAAATCCTGCTCAGCATTGTTATTCACAGCTACAGGAATAAATGAATCTTAAAGAAGAGCTGACTGTCGAAATCTCCACCGATTCAATGGGCCTACTGCAGTTGCAACTTACCCTAAGCAACAGCATAACAGCCATAGTTTGCCCAATGAAGAAGCCATCTGTTCAACCTCATTTTTGTCTAGAAGGGTCTTCCTAACATTTAGCTGGAACCTACTTCTTTACCACTTTCATTCAGTAGTTCCAATCCTGTCCTATAGGGCTACAAAATCTGCTTCAAAATTCTTCTTACACAACCTGTGACGCTTTTATGCACACAAGTGAAGGGGTTCTTCATAGCTGAAGCTAGATACACCTAAAGCTACCATTCTTTCCCTGATGTCAGAAAGTTAACCATGCTGACCAGAAAGTACCAGGAGATTTAATTCAAAAAGTAACACTTCCAAACTCTGTTCTTGCCACAGCAGCTGAGCCTACAATCAAGGATGAGAGTCGAGTCAATGTGTATAATATTTCTGTCTATCTTGCCTCTTAATATGCTTCCATGCACTGTTTCACAGCAATAGACAATTAGTCTGGATACTGCCATACAAATGACGATTTCCTGCAGATATTTGAAAGAACACAGGACTAGTGCAGTTTTAAAAAGCTTTCTCGAGCATTTTCCAGGAAAGATAAAGTAGGCATACGTTGTATATAGGCATTATGATTGGAGCAAGGCAATATCCAACCCCAAAATGGCTGGGTAAGGCACCCTGATTCAGACCACAAACCACCCATGATGGCTCAAATAAAGGGCATCCATATACAGTGGGGTCTTGACTTGTGAACTTAATCCGTATTGGAAGGCGGTTCTCAAGTCAAAAAGTCTGTAGGTCAAGTCTCCATTGACCTACAATGCATTGAAAACCGATTAATCCCGTAACAGGCCATTTTTGTTCCATTTTGGTTTTTTTCTGGTCTGTAAGTCAATTCTCAGGCTGCAAGTCAAACCTAAATTTTGCGGTCAGAGAAGTCTGTAACTCAAAAAGTCTGTAAGTCAAGCCATCTGTAAGTCAAGGGTCCACTGTACTACTTCCAAGTAGTTTTAAATTAGAGGAACGGGATCAGGGTGAGATTCTGACCTATGATTTTAGAGAAGCATTCATTATGTTGGCTTATTTAAATCCACGTCACACTGCTGCCAAGGATATAAAAGCAATATTTTCATCACAAAATGTAGCTCCACCCCCGCTCCCTAATTGACCAACACAAGTTAGATGTACAGGTTTTATGATGTAAATTCTGTAAACATAGCTTGAATTGGCAAGCACAAGAAAATGCATTTCCCCAAATCATAATGCCATTGCAAACCCCCTGCCCACCATCAGTCCCATCTTTCTTAATGTTCATCACATTCTTAGGAAACAACCAGTTCTGTGCAGAACTTGGACAAGTTACTTATTTGGTGTATAACCTACACACTGGCTAAAGGAATCTGGGCACTGCAGTTCAAAAAAGTTAAATTTTTCCAAGTTCTGGTTCTGTGACAGATGAGAACAAGGAAGGCAGGAGAAGATGAGAGGCAGAAAGAGAGACAAAGACAGAGAAGCAGAAATATATTTTTGAATAACAAGCTATAAAGCAAATACTGTATGTATGGAGAGAAGAAAGGGAGATATTTACTTGGTTATTCCATCTTCCACATAGGTTGTTCTGTAAAATCCAACCAGGGAACCATTTAATTGGCCTTGAAACTTCATAGTCAGGAGATAAGTGTCGGGCGCTAGTGGTTCTTGGGCCTCAACCACCACATATTCCTGTGGTTTGTACTCAAAGCAACGTGTAAGAAAAACTGACTGGCCTGCGGACGTCTTGAGAAGGGGCATCTCTGTGATCTTTGTCTCTCTGAGGTGGAGCCAGATGTGCCGGGTGGTCTGCTCTGCCATGATGGAGATAGTGACTGTTCCGTTATACCGATCTTCGGCCATCTCTGGCATCAGCTCCAAGTCGTAATGATTTGGGTAAAAATGGGTGGGCAGTTTGAAATTTGTCCAGTCTCCACTGGTTTCATCATTTTGAGCTGGGCAAGCATTCACGTCTTCAGGTGGAGGGCTGGTGGGTGGCTGGGTAGGCCCCTGGCCATTGTCTTCTGGAACATTGCAGGGCTGTGGTTTTAATCCCAGCCCCAGCCCCAGTCCCAAAACCAGTCCTACAGCAGCAATCACACCACAGATGATAGCCACATGTTTCCCTTTCATGCAATATCTTTTGGAGGCTTCATCTTCAAAATCCATGTCTTTCATTTCCAGCTTTCACTACCAGAGATAACTGTGAAAATAAAAGCTAATAGAGCAACAGTGCAGTAGCTTGCTTCTTTCTTTCTTTCTTTCAGTATTTGTTCAGCAGGCTCCTTTGATATTCAGCATCCTCTCTTTCTTTCTTTCTCTCTCTTCCCTAACTTTTCCTTCTTCTTCTTCTTCTTCTTCTGTATCTCCCCCCTGCCTCCTCCCTACTACTGAGACACTCAGTTACTGTAAAAACGACATTTGGTTTATCCAAAGAAAAGTGACCCGTAAGGAAGAATTCAGCAAAGGAGTGGAAATGAACGTAGAAGCACATTGGAGCTGCAGCTTCAGGGACTTTATAAGCCGTGCAACCCCACCCACCCCCCTCGCAACTCCTCCTGCTCCAGTCAGAGTTAAATATAAAACAGGGCTGTGTTAATCAGCAGTCAGGGATGATCAAATGCCAGGGCTTCGCGTCAGCAATTTCTACAAAGCGAATCGTAGACGGAGAGAGGTATAACTGCTCGGGAAGCATCAACCTTTATCGCTATCATTGGCTTTCCTCTTTTGGAGCCTTTTATGAGAGAAGCTTTCCTTGAACTTCCACCTCAGAAGTTTGTGTAAGAAAACGTCCATTTTGCTGGAGTGGTTCCCCCCCTTCTCCCGCTCTCCATTTTGTAACCCCACACATCTCTTCCTATTTGGGTTTTCCTTCGCTGTTGTGGCGTGTTCATTTTATTATTTTCTTCACTCCGTTATTCAGTTTGGGCCCCAACACGCATCTTTTGTGTGCATGCCTCAGGCTGCAAACATTGGCTCTTTGTGCGCTCCCGGAGCCAAACGTAGCCTTCCAACAAACAGCCCGTTCCAATTTCCAGCCCGACCAGGCAGGCAGGGAGCGAGCCAGCCGAGGGAAGGGAGCCGTTTCCTCACATTTCCAGTTACGGTCCGTGCCTTTTGCGCAAGCAGGTCAGAGGGACGTTTGGAGAAGCGGGTCACAAAAGTGATCCCTTGCAATTGACAAGTTGCAATATCAAAGAAAATGAACGACTAGAGTGGTCCGGTGGTCCAGATAAGCGGGGTAGAAATCAAATAAATAAATAAATAAATAAACGATCGTTTTTCCTGCGCTGGACTTCTATACATATTCACTCCCAAGCAAACCCTGCGGAGTTTAGTGGGGACCGTTAGCAGGGCTAGCTCTACCATAAGGCAAAGTGAGAGGACAGCTTCAGGTGGCATATAATGTGGAGGCGGCAGCAGTCCACCAGGCATTTCACTTGGACCTTTCCGCCATTCTTCTCTAAGGCTAGGCAGAGGTGTCTGCTGCAGCCCCTCCACCCCCATCTAATCTGCTGTTGTCATATATGCGATGCAGGATACTGACCAGTGCCAAAATGACATGCGAATGTCCTTCATTTCTTATTGTATATAAAATTGCAAAGGGGGACCATCTTGCCCTTTGCCTCTGGCAGTAAAATGCCTTGGGACACTTGTTTTATTCCAGGTGTGATTAAAACAAAATACAGTTTCACTTTCCTATGATTAGATTAGATTAGGCATCCTTCAGTCTCGAGAGACTATGGTAATGTGCTATGAATAGAGGACTTGGAACAGTGTCTAGTGTGGCTGAGAAGGCCAATTCGAGAGTGACAATCCCTTCCACACTGAAGATAAATACAATCTCTCCCCTGTCCCCTGATTTTGCTAGTTTTGGGACTGCTTCTTTGCCTTGGCCTGCTGAACAATGTCTCTTCAAATTGGGAGAGGCCATGATGCACCACCTGCCTCCAGGCTGAACACTTAGATGTCAAGGTTTCCCATCTGTTGAGGTCCATTCCTAATGCCTTCAGATCCTGCTTGCAGATGTCCTTGTATCACAGCTGTGGTCTCTGTCTGGGGCACTTTCCCCACACTAATTCTCCATACAGGAGATCTTTTGGAATCCGACCATCAGCCATTCTCACGACATGCCCAAGACAACGTACACGTCACTGTTTCAATAATATATACATGCTAAAAATTCCAGCTCATTCTAGGACTACTCCATTTAGAACTTTGTCCTGCCAGATGATTATGCATATAAAAACAGGCACAATACTCAGCTAACCGAATCTTTGTTCTTTTATTGATTCCACAGGAATAGCAGCACTGGTTCCCAAATTTTTCACAATCATGACCTCTTTTTGAATGTAAGAAATCATGTCTCCCCGCCTCTCCTTTACCATTATCCAATCCTCTTTTTAAAATAATAATTATACTAATAACAACAGGCCCAACAACAAATAATTTATAATTTAAAATAAACACAAAATTTTATGACAAAAATCTTGTTACTCTTCATGCATATAAGAGCGATTACACAGCAAGCCCACCCCCATGACAAAATAGTTCATTACATAATTGGTTGTGAGATGCATAAAGATACATAAAGAAGAAGTTGCTGATGAGTGTGAAGTGCTTATACAGTTGCACTTGCACAATCATGTAAGTCAACAGGATTCTGAAGTTAATAATATTTTAAGTTTAAAATGAGCACCGTCAGATCCTGGTTTGAATTACTGAGTCACCTAAGATTTACAGACCTCCCAGGTAAAAAGAACAGATTCTATCATTTTTCATACCTGTAAAGGGTTAATACCAGAACAAAACCAAACAATCAGTCACAAGCTGTATATAAAGTCATCTGGATAGCTTATTATAATTTTCTTCAGTGTTTCAATAATTCCAGGCCACTCCAGAACTTATTAATTCTATACAAGTTCTATTTCTTTACATTATTTCAAGGTTCCAGGCTTAAAAGTATCAAATCCAAAAATTATCACAGTCTTACAGTTATGAAGAAAAAAAAGCTTTAGGCACATATACTTAAATCCAAAAGTTATGCAGATATGTTAAAAAAATTAAATACTTAAAAATCTATATACTTAAAAATCCATTAAGAATGAACTTAAGCTTTGAACAAATACTTTAGTCAGAAAATTCATCTCACTTGTAAGCTTATAGCTATATGAAGTCCAGACAAGTATCTTAGTCATATTTGAATCAAAAATACAAAAACATTAAAAATATGGACTCACGAAGGCAGAAAATACATCTCTATAATATTTCAAAGTTCTTAAGAACAAAATTATAAAAAACAAATAGCCTTATGATACTCAGTAACAGGCATGAAAAAGTATTTAAACTTTTAAAAGTAAAAATGTACAAAATCAAAAAGCATTATTTAGCTCTAAGCATGTAGTTGACACACAGAAAAATATTTTCTCTACAAGAAAAAAGGTCAGCCATCTTTCTCAGCCTTTGTCTATGTTATTCTCATGGTTATCTCCTGGCTGTTGTCCATCTGCATCTTTCCACTTGTTTGCCAAAAGCAAGTGGCCATGGTTCTTGGGAGATGTGCTGTGTCAGATGACCTCCGGGAGATGCCTTCACTCTCTTTGAGATGTTCCGTAAGCATGATAGAAATCTCTGGTTTTTATAGACTTAGTGCTTCTTAAACAAAACATTTATGATGCTGAATTTTGGCTTTCCCATAGGTAGGCAATGCTGGCTTGTCCAGACATGTGTAGGACAGCTCAACTGGGGTATGAATCAGCTACTAGCCAAGATAGTCAGGAAAGTGCCCCCACTTGGAATACTTCCTTAACACCATATTTGGGCAGTATAATGCATTTTGAATGCCAACGTCTTGCATTTTAGATGTTCTATATTTCCCAGTCAAATTCCATATATATATAATTTGCCACATATTTCTATTTAAAATCCATAGTTGACAGCACCAATGAGGGGTTTTTTTGTCCAAAAAAGTTGACCAGAATGTATCTGCTACAGAAATGTGTTTATGCAAATCACACCATCTCATGCCTTCCTTAGAATTTCTTCAATATATTATATCCTTTAATTTCAGTATTGTTGAGAGATTTTTTAAAAATGAAACAAAACATTTATAACTTTTCATTCCCCACATACCAAATAAGAAATACAGATTGTGTCAAGTTCCATTGCTCTCTAGCAGTACGCCTATGGTATTGTTGTTCTTTAGTCATTTAGTCATGTCCGACTCTTCGTGACCCCAAGAAACAGAGCACACCAGGCTCTCCTGTCTTCCACTGCCTCCCGGAGTTGGGTCAAATTCATGTTGGTAGCTTTGATGACACTGTCCATCCATCTTGTTCTCCATCGTCCCCTTCTCCTCTTGCCTTCACACTTTCCCAACATCCGGGTCTTTTTCCAGGGAGTCTTCTCTTCTCATCAGATGGCCAAAGTATTGGAGCCTCAGCTTCAGGATATGTCCTTCCAGTGAGCACTCAGGGTTGATTTCCTTCAGAATGGATAGGGTTTTTTTTCTCCTTGCAGTCCAGGGGACTCTCAAGAGCCTCCTCCAGCACCACAATTCAAAACCATCAATTCTTCAATGGTCAGCTTTCTTTATGGTCCAGCTCTCACTTCCGTACATGGCTACAGGAAAGACCACAGCTTTGACTATTCGGACTTTTGTTGGCAAGGTGATGTCTCTGCTTTTCAAGATGCTGTCGAGGTTTGTCATCGCTTTCCTCCCAAGAAGCAGGCATCTTTTAATTTCGGGGCTGCTGTCACCATCTGCAGTGATCATGCAGCCTGCAGCCTATGGTATTAAGACTTTTTAAAATATTAGTACAGCGATATGAACAGGCAAGGACTGCTCTATAGTTTAGCAGGCTCCTTCCTGAAAACAATGTCTATGTATGAATTCATCAGTTCCTATAATCCAGGAGTAAGGAACACTAATGCCAGTGAAAGCTTTTCCACTGGCTGAGATGGTTGGAGAAGTGCTGGCACTGACCATGCCACTGCTGCCCCCTCCCTGACAGTCCCCATGGCACATGCCCCTCCATACACTGCAGAGACATTTACAGAGGGAGGGAGAAAAAGAAGAGGCTAAGAAGCAGCTGTTTTGAATTGTCATAGGCTTTCTGGTCAGCTCTGGAGAGTGGCCACTGTGCTGTCAGATGGTGAGGGCCAAAGCATTCTACAAAGCCATCCCTCTAAAGAGCCGGGACTTAAGCCAACAGCCACTGTGCTCCCAAAGTGACCAACTAGCCAACAGCAATTCTGAACACTGCTCTTTGTCACCATTGCTGTCACCATCTCCTCTTTATAAATAAATAAAATCTTGTTCTGTCTCTGTAAATGTTTCTGTGTGGCAGATACAGAGGGCATGGCAGTCAGAGAGCAGGCTGTTTCTCTGCTCCATTTTTTTTATTGTGAACTGTATTGGCAGAGATAGATTTTACTTTCTTGGGCTCCATGATCACTGCAGATAGCAATGACAAATCTCAACAGCAACATAAAAAGCAG